ACTACTGACCTTGCAGTCATCAGCCCAACCTGTAATCCACTGCACTGCCAGGGCTTCTAGAAAAGATAAAACCCATTCAAATCTGAAATTCTCTGCATTCCCGCTGGGCGCCCCCACACCCACACACCCTCCTCCTGCTCAGGATTCTGCTGTGTGATCTTCAATCAAAATGTTCAATAATGGTAGCTGGCACCACCCAGTTCTGGTCTTGTGAGAAAACGTCACCCCCTCTGGTGACACACAGGAGAAGAATCCAGCTCTGTGTCCACCCAAAGCCGATTGCCCCAAGGCCGAGATCAGACATGCCGCCCCCATCCTATCTGCCGTTCCTCTTACAGCATGCTACTTTCCTGCTGGTTCAGTAATCCGATGTGGCCACACCGAGTTCACAGACAACACGCATGACTATGAGGGTTTATTAGGGAAGTGAATAGCTTACCACGAGCCAGGCTCATGGAACACGAAGGACAGTCGTTGGTCCTCAGCCTCCTCTAAGCCATGCGGTCCCATAGCCTCTGTCTCCGTGGGCCAGGAAGTTGGCCTGTTGCTCCGCTGCACACTCTTTGTCCTGGCGCAGCTCTGCACCACGGCCTCAGAGTCTTCCTGCCCTGCCCTCTGTTGCCACTGTTATTTTAGGCAGGGATTTTGAATGATGGCGACTCTTCTCCCTTGATGGTCCCAGGAATTCTCGCTGCCTGTTTCTGGAGTATCTCATTGACGTAACCACTAATCCCCTCTCTGAGTGTTTCGCAAACCCTGTTTGCATGGTCTCACCCAGCCTTTTGGTGGGAGTTACAATGACCTGGATACGAGGTCCACTCCAACTCATTTAACTTCACCACACAGGGCACCACACGTGAGTGGGGGTCTCGTTCATGAAGGCATGCATGAACACATTCCATACCCTTCCTCTGGCTCTGACTCTCCTTCCTCTGTTGCCCCAGGTGACTAGAGACTGGTTGTTGTGGCTTGGATGGCTGCTTGCAAGATTGTAAGACACCCCCCCCCCCAAAGGCACTGCAAAATGAATCAGGAGGTAGAACAGAAACACTAACCCCATTATTAGGCTAATTAATAACGTCCCATGAAACCAGGACCGTACATTTCCAAACCAGAGAACCAAATCCCGGGAGCCAATAGTTCCTCACTTGTTATGTTAAATGTAGCTATCGTGCAACTTTTGCCAATTCATCTTTTTATAGATCTGCAGCTTATTGACAACACTTACTTATTAGGGGTGTGACCCCATTCTTAATCGATGTGATTTCTTTATCATAGCTAACCACCCTTTTTTCTCCTCCTGCACGTATGACCTCACTAATCAACTTGGGTCTGCGAACATGCCTTTTCTTATTCTGTGTGGACAGAGAGTCCCATCCAGTATGTATCTTCTCGCGGCTGGCTTCTTTTGCTCAGCCGACTGACTTCAAGCTGCATCCCTCCGGCAGCAGGTAGCGGGACTTCATTGCCCACTGGCTGGCTGGCGTGCTCTCTTCTGTGTCGTGCCACGTTTCGCTTTTCCACTCCTCTGTTGACAGACGTTTAGGTTGTTCTCACCTTTTGGATTTTTGAGTACAGAAGGGGCTTGTGTTCAAGTTCAGAAGGTCTTAAAAGGCACAATCTTCTTTCCATCCTCTCGGCTCCCAGCCATCGGCCCTTGGTGGGTGACTGCCGGAGCACCGAGCACAGGACTCGGTGCTTGTGTTTAGCCCTCGAACAGGGGAGAACTGGGCACTGGCCTGCCTCTCCTGCACATCTCCCTCCCGTTCCTTGGAAAGCTGGGGATTGCCTTGCACTTGGTGTGGCCCCTTGCCCTGGCATTGTCTCAGGCATCGGAAGGGCCCTTGGAGTTAGAACCTGTCTTTTCCTTGCCTTATCCAGAACGTTCAGCCCAGGTCAGTCAAAGCCCAGTCACATGTCTAGTTCTAGGGTTTCTGTTTGGTTACTTTCAGAGTTTCGAGTCCTTTGCTGAAATTCTCCATCTGTAGCCTGTTTTCCAGAACTTCTATTAAGTGCAGTTATTTGGACTCCCGCTTCATGTAAATCACGCCAGGATCTTCTGTGGGTGCATTTCTGGTCTTTCTTCCTGGTGGCTTTGACTGAGGCTGGTGTTGGGTTGAAGAAACTGTAGGTCATTTAAGGTTCTGGCCATTCCTCCCCAGAGAATTGACTGGATTCTGGCAGGCAGTGGGGCTGAAGGTCCCCTGACCCACTCTTTCAGCACTGATGGGTGGCCTCCTGTCTTCAGTGCCCAGTTACTGTGGGCAGGCTGGTCAGCAAGTGCTGCCACAAATCCTGTTCAGTTCTGATGACGAATGATGATCTGTTTCAGGGTCACCCCGACTCTTAGGATGACGAGGGTCACAGCAGAAAACTTTGGGGTTTGTAGTGTTCTCTCTCCGGCAAAACTGCCTGAAGCTCTGCTCAGCCTCTGGCTTTTCAGCCAGTGCTTGCAGACAGACAGATAAGGCAGATAGCTGTCAGATGGCGGCCCACCAGACTGCACTTCCCATCTCTGTGTGATCACAGCTCCTCAAACCCGGGTTGGCTCAGTGCCTAGCCACGTCACTACATGCATTTTGAAAAGTGTTGCTATATTAAGAACATGATAGGCTGTTAGGTAGAGATGGGTATGTGATGTCAAGTTAGGCTAAAGTTGTGTGCAGAAGGGTATTTAAATCTGGGGCCTGTGTTGGAAAGGCCAGAACCCAGTGTTCCAAGACCTCTCTCCTAAGGCCTCCCACCCATTGATGGTGGGGAGTGGGGTGAGCGGGTGGGAGAAGCAGGCTACCTGGGCATTAGTGAGGTGACGTCCCGACATCAGGGGCTTGTCCTAGCTTGGTAGAGCTGGACGTGCCAAACAGAGCTTTCTTGAGTCCAGGTGTGGGTCGACCCCATGAGGCTGGGACCCAGGAGTTCCTGACTGTCGGGTGGAG